GCTTGTTATTCGTTTAAACTGTGCTTCTGTTTGATTTTTGCCAAATTTATTAGTGCCGTCAATACATTGAAAAAGGAAAAAAAATGGGAACCGAAATTCGGGAAAACAATTTGGTTTTAATTATAGAAAATCATCTCTATATCTAAACAAACATTTTGCAAAACAATTTACCTTGGAGGAAAAAAACAGAGCCTTGTTGAAAATATAATTCTTTAGATCATCTCAATCAATTTTTTTTTAATCAAAATTCTGTCATCCAATTTTGGGACCAAGACGGGGAAAAGTCAAAAGGGCAATCTTATGAGGACTCAGTTTACAATAGTCTATACAAATTACAAGATTAGAAAGCCTCTGCCTAAAAACATGAGGCTCATATGTATTTTAAAGTAATTAGTTAGTTAGTGCCTTTTAATTGATGATTTGATCATATAACCATTGACTTTAAAAGGAAACAAACAAACTTATAATTTGTGTTCCCGCCAAAAATCTATTAACCAATTTTTTTTTTTCCATCATGATTTTGGAAAGAAAATGTGACTTACAAGTAGTGATTACATGATATGGTGCAATTCATCTCTGCAGATTTCTTCTTCTTCATCACAAACATTAATTCCACTTTCCCACTAAGCTTGGCTTGGCTGCTCAGAGTCAAAACCCCTGTGCTTGCCAAAAATACTGGAATTGCTTTCCAATGCCCTGGAATTTAAAATCACAGTGGCTCCAGTTTTTTCAGTCGAACGCCACCGGTCCTTGCCCTTAGGAATGAAAACCTGCCCTAGAGTCACACCCTGGTACTGAAATGAGAGGCTGCTACTATCATACTTGTAGGGACCAAAATTGGTGTTCTGGACTCGAATTTGGGTTGTGAAGCTCATGTCAAAGGAAGGTGAGTCTGATTCATGGGGTATATTAGATGATGAGAGAATGATTAAAGGAAATTTGGCTTAAAAACGCGTCCCAATCAGGTTTGAAATTTAGCTTACTTCTAGATGATCGCCTGACTTTGAGGACTTTTTCTGGTTTTTTTCATTCGTACAAAGGTGACATCATCGTACAGTATTTGTAGAACCTTCGACTATGTTTTGAAACAGGCAATATATATATATATATATATTTTATTTTTTTGAGAAAACCTTCAACGTAAACGTACAATCCATCATCAGCTACACAAGGCCGTTCTCTATAAAGAAAAAAGAAAACTCATTGCAAGAGAAAACGCGCCCAAGAATCCGTACGAGTCTTTGGTGAAAGTAATTCAATCTACAAAACAGAAAAACTAACGATTGGTGCATATTTAGTAACAGAGTCATCTTGTTGACATTTATCAAACACCCATGCCGTACTGCACCCGATATTGAAATATAAAACCATAAAGTCTTGTCCAAGGTTTAATTCTTACCCACAGTGAAGGCAATATGTGAATAGGGTTTAGGAACTACAACCAATTGGTAGGACGTTTGGGCACGATATTAAGGTTGATAAGCTCATATGGTGCGGATCCCGAGTCTCTACATTTAGAAATGGTGCATTTATCAATATTTCATAAAATATGGACCATTCAATTAATCAAATGCTTGTGAATAGCCACATTGGCTACAGTAAGTTTGTTTCCTTTTTAAAAAATTAACACTATTAGTCCCTTTGACAGAAAAAACAAACAACAATCCCTTTGACAATAAATTCTCTAATTTCACCTACCGCTCTCTTGATTCTTCCTCTGTGTATTTGTAATCTGATCTTTTTTGGGGTCTTTTGGCTTCTTCTTCTACTTTAATTTGGAGCTTCAGCTTACAAGATGAGCCAGCCAAGACATAGTAGACTCATAATTGGTTCAGGTTTTTCAGAAAACTATGTCAAGGAATTTCCTATGCTAGGAAGCAATACAACCAACTGTTCTGAACAACAAGTAGGCTCTCCTAGTCCATCCCCTCTTCCCAAGTTCAGGTGTCGTACTTCCAAGCCCATTCATCAATCAGAATAGCAATCAATTGGGTATTTTTCTTATCAATTTCAGATGATAACTACAGCTTGTAATAACAATCAATTGAAATAGTGTATTTGGAATTTAAAATCTATTGATTGAAGCAGATTTCCAATAGTTATCGATTGAAGAAGCCAAAAGAAAAAAAGAAAAATCATATTACAAAGACACCAGAGGAAGAACCAAGAGAGCGTCAGGCGGATAAATGCACTATTTCTAAATGCAGAGGCTTAGGATTCATATGGTACATACCATTTTAGGTATATATTCCTAGTGTGTGTGCACTAATTCTAATTCTACGTGCTATTAAAGTCATGAATAAAATGCCCTAGACGAAACAGAATATTACCCAAAACCAAAACACAAGCCTTCCTTCTAAATGTTTCCGCAAGAAGCTCAGCAGAACCATCTGCATCTAGGAATACTCAATAATGTAAAAGATAGTTATAACTTATATCGAATATACAAATTAAGAAACGAACTGAGGCCTCACCTCACCAATTACCAATTAATCAGCCCTTAATTCTCTTATATAATTGAAATGAAAACATTGGACATGTTGAAAGTATACGTACGAAAATCGAAGCTTATGTATAGTAAACATAGGGATGGTTGCGGTTCAGTTACCGTAATTTTTTGGCCAAACTGCAAATCGACCGATTATTTGAGGTTTGGTGTTTTTTGAAACGGTAAACCGACCGCGTTTTGCGATAAACCGTATTGCGGTAAAACCACAATTTCGGTTGGTTACTGTGAATTAACGGTTTAAACCGATTGTGATATTTTGCGCCTAAATTATACAATTTTAAGTCTTTTAAGTTGGGTCTTTTTGTGTCATAAAAATCCAATCTTCCATACTTTTGAAGTCTAGTTTTGAAGCTTCTTTTGAAGCCTTTTGAGTCCAATCTTCCATAGAGTCAGTTAACATTTTAGGAAATAACTAAAAGGAAAACCATACAGTCACATTGTTAGATTCATCTCCGGTTACCCTGCATGCCATGCTCATAGCCTATTTAAAGGTCTCTAAAGGTTCCAATGGTTCTAAGCCCAAGCAGTGAGAATATTGGAATAAAATAAATAGACCAACACATATAACAGACCAACACATTCTCAAATTGGAATAAAATAAATAGAACATAAAACACACCAACTTAGCCAAATTAATTATTAGCAAACAAATTTTAAAGGTTAAATAACGTAATAATTATGTATTTATCAATTAGATTAGGTATGATCATAGCCGTTAGATATCTAACGGCTATCAATTAATTAAAAATACATATTTTTATTATTAATTAAAAAAATGTTTGCGATTTGCAGGAACTGCAAACTTGGAATTTTCCAAACTGCCACCGCAACCGCAATTGCGGTTCCTCAAACCGCAAATTGAGGTCGGTTTTCCCGCTTGTTCAGTTCAAATGTTGTAATATCTCGGTTGGTTTATGTGGTTTTTCAGTTTTTCGATCTAAAATGCCACCCCTAAGTAAATATCTCACCTTCTGTATTTCAATAATGTAGAAGAAAGTGTATAGAAAGCACACATTGTATAGCTTTACAACAAACACAAGCGTACGTAACTCAAAGACAAAATATTAATTCAAGAACTTGTCTTGATCACTCCCAAATCAATTGTATACCTTTGTTGGTGAGGCTTCTTCATTTGAATTGTAAAACTTGGACAGTTTTTGTGGAAAAATTATATGCAATTAATGGTGCAGAAAAAGTTCGGTTTTTTCTGTTTATTCGCCCTGTAAAGTCCAAAATGGATTGATAGAATGCTGGCTTCCTGTAAATGCTTTAACGTATACTTTCAGTCTTTGACTTCTAAGTTATAGTCTTGTATTCTAGAATCAATATGTAGATGGTCCAACAAGTCACTGGGACCTACCCTACAAAGAAAAGTATTAGCTTTTTTAAAAAAAAAAAAAAAAAAAAAAAAAAAAAAAAAAAAAAGAAACAAACAAAAGATCCTTCCATTGGACCCAACCATATCTCTTTTCTATCCATAAAATTAGAGTTTCCCTTTTGCCCCCTAACAAAATTAAAAGCAAAAAAAAAAGGAAAAGAAAAAAAAGTCTCCAAATCAAAGACTTGTTCTCAGAGCTCTCACTTGAGACTACCAGAGTTAAAGTCAGCACCACCGGCGGCTATTGCCCCAACCAAAAAAAAAGTCACTTATTTATTTTTATTGAAATAAAAACAATTAGCCCCACAAGGAGAACTAATTAGTAGCAGAGGTGAAGGTTTCAACTGAAATCTTGTAATACTGTATATGTTTTTGTTGTTTAAATTCGAATGTTTAAAATGAGTTTTTCTTCAGATTTTATGTAGTGAGTTTGCCTTAATTGTGTTTAGCTAAGTTACGCAGTTTTAAATTTGCCCCATGCAAGTAAAATTCTGAGTCCGCCACTGGTTAGCACCTATCAGTGGGGATACCCATGATAGGGTCAAGGAGGGGGCTCTTATTTATTTATCAGTTTTAATTTAAGGGTAAGATGGTAATTTCGAAAGTTGCTGTATGAGGAGATATTTATTGAGGCCCCCGCCATAAAAGTATGCTAACCTATGACTTGGACAGACTTAGAAATCCCTGTCTGCGTTGTGGTGCTGAGTAGTCAAAGTCTTTAAAGCCCTCCAACATTTCTTTCTCTTATTCAATACTTCGTTTTTCTTTTCTCCTCGTGTTCACATCGTGCAAGGAAGGGTACATGCACTTTAATATATAAATAAATAAATAAATAAATAACATAAATGGTAAATTAATCTTCTCATCGTTGAGTACCAGAAGTCAATAAACTACAACTTAATTTTTTGCGTGTTGTAGTGGTCCCAATTTGCAGGAAACTTACAACCGTAGATATTACTCTAACCAAAGAGATTGCCTGAACATTATATATACCACACATCGCTCACCAATATTCCCACAACCAATACATTTTGCTCATCATTTCATACATACTTTACAGAGAGAGAACAGAGGAAAAGCAGAGCACTTTTCTTTGCAGCACAAGACATTAAGATGGCGGAGAAAGCCAACCAGACTTACTCTTCAGGACCAGCAAATACAGGTTACACAAGAAGCGATGGAGAGTCTCAGCTGTCCTCTCATGAGCTGAAGCGCAAGAAGAGAATCAAATTGGCTATATATATTGCTATTTTTGTTGTGTTTCAGATCATAGTTATCACCATAATGAGTCTCACTGTGTTGAAAGTAAAGACCCCAAAGTTCAGGCTAGGCCAAATCGGCGTCCAAACCTTTGAATCTGACAATGAAACGTCTGTGAAATTCAACACCGAAATCAGCATAAAGAACTCAGCCAACTGGGGTTCCTACAAGTTCGAAGCTTCCAATGTCACGTTTGAACACCAAGGCAAGACTGTGGGAGTAATTGATATCGAAAAGGGAAAGGTTGGATGGCTTTCGACCATAAAAAGAAGTGTGGAGGTGAGTTTGAATTCAAGTGCAATAACTGGTTCAAATCTTGGAAGCGAAGTGACGCTCAATTGCGTTGGTAGATTGAACGGAAAAGTTGCAATTATGTTCATAATGAAGAAGAAGAAGGCTACCAACGTGAACTGCACCATAGCTTATGATGTGAAAAACACCTCCGTCAACTCTGTACACTGCAAGTGAAAACAGATCTGGATATAGTAATTTGTACTTGTTTTATGTTTCTGCAAATTTGAACTTCTGCTGTTTTTTATAAATAAAATTGCTTGGGTGTATATGCATACCAAAGTATAATTTTGTAGCTGTGATTTTTTATTATATACAGATTGTTAGAGCTGTCTTTTTGTTTTTGTTTTTTGTTTTTATAAAAAGAAGAATATTTGAACTGATTCTGTCTTAGCTTTTTCGCTGTAAACTTGAGTAATATAATGTTTGACAGATTGAAGATTCATACCCAAATAAATAAATAAATAACTAAAATAAAATGATATTAAAAACGCCTAGTAATGGGAAGACCATAGAGATTGCAAAATTGTAGTCTTTGAAAGTAATGAAAACGTTAATAAAGTAGTCAAAATTCCACGAAACCGGATCCAATCCAACGCTAACTCCGGTTGGCATTACAGATAAGACCTCTATAACTTGTCTCCTATGGACAAGTTGCAAGTTGTGACTCTTGTTGGGGTGGGGTATGATATTATTGTCTAATTTGTCCAACCCAAGTTTCCTTCTATATTACCAATAGGGTTAATTACTATAGACGTCTTTAAACTATGGCCCCAGTTGCAATTGGGTTCGTGAACTAAATTTTGAGGCAACGAAATCCTTTAATTAGACAATCAGTTGCAATTAGGTCATGCCGTCCAACTCTGTCAAGTTATCCTTCAAAATGAGGTGTAAAAGTGTCTTTTTGAGTATGGAGACTCTCCTTCGAATCTAAACACTTGCCTTAAACCCTTCGCTTCGACCCCCAACGGAAGAACTAAAGAACTGAGAAGAGGCTGCGAGGGAAGGAAGGCAAAATGTCAGAGAGTTCGACAGATTCAAATTGCAGCCATTGTTACTGTGAGTGTGGGTCGGAAATCAAATGCCGGACTTCATAGACAGATCTGATCCTGGAAGAAGATTTGAGGCATGTTGCAATAATCGGGTAAGTTTTTGTTTGAATTGCATAACAGTAATTGGTGTTTCGTTTTTTCGCATGGTTGGAGAATGAAATTGGTGTTTTGTTGGGTCTGAAATTGGTGTTTCATTTTGTTTGAATTGCAGAACAGTAAGAGGGGGTTGCATTTTTTCCCATGGGTGGAGAATGAAACATGCCCATGAGGAAAGGAAATCTTGCTTGGGTTACTTAGAAGACTAAGAGGAATGGAGGACGAATTGAGAGCAACAGTGGAGAATTTCAAATTGATGGAAGAAGAGAAGAATAAATTAGAGCAAAAACTAAGAGAAGAGGAAGAAGAAATAAAGATTTTGAAAAAACAGAATCTGGGAATGGGTCAACAAGTTGTTGTACTAGAAGGGGAAATTTTGAGTTATCGACAAAGACAAAGGTGGTTCTGGGTCGTTGTTCTGTTGTGTTTTATGATTATGATATTGTTCATCAATATGGATGATTTGGTAGTGTAGAAATGGCAGGAAATGGGCATAATGTTGTATATACTCTTGAACAGCTTTTGATGGCATGGGCATAGTGTAGAAATGGGTAGGAATTGGTAGTGTAGAAATGGGCAGGAATTGGTAGTATAGAAATGGGTAGAAACATGGGCATAAGGTTATTTTGTGCCTTTTTGGCATTTGGTTAGATGTTTTGCTATATAAGCTGATTTTGTGCTGAATTGGCGGTGTATACCAAATGAACAGGGGCACATTACATACAATCCAAAAAGCTTCAATTACCAATTAACATTCACCAACTGCACATTACATACAATCCAAAATACACTTGAACATTACATAGAATAGGCAAAAGAGCCTTCAAAATAACATTACCAAATAGTATACTTGAGTCTATAATTGTTCACCCAAAATACACATCCACATAGTAAGTACTTAAGAGTCCAAAAATAGGTCTTAAAAGTCCACAAAATATGTCTTCACAGTCTATACTTGTCCTCCTCTTTTAACACTGTGTTTGAATATTCCTCTATGGGGTGTGGTTTGTTCAATAAGTGAAGAGGATGATGGTTTCAAGGGCACTTGTTGTGAGTATGTCATTGGCAGATTGGCCCTTCCTTGACTGATATCACTTACCACCTAAGATAAAAACCACAAACAACATATATTACTATATAGGCAAACATAAAAAATCTAAGTTGGGCAAGAATATGAGACATAGATAGAAGACAAGAAGGGATAAAAAAAAGGAAAATGCTAGAGGCACCAACTTTGGGCACCAAGTTGGGCACCAACTCTCTAATAGAGCGTGGGACTCGGTGTATTCGCGGGCTCCACCTCTATTAGAGAGTTGGTGCCCAACTTGGTGCCCAAAGTTGGTGCCTCTAGCACCACCCTAAAAAAAAACCCTAAGTGTTGCAGTCAAGGACAGTATAAAGCAAAGCGTGTAAGGAATCTTTAAAAGCTATGGACCACACAGATGAAAACAAAACCAACTGATACGTATTCAAATAGGCAGAGTTACTTAACTGTACCCCCGATGAACCCCAAATTTTGAAGCTTATACAGAAAATTTCTCACTCACTCAGTCGTTGCTACATCAAATTTAACTCCAATGGCTGCCTCAGAAGGGATAGTTCACGTGCTTTCCCTTTTCTTCAGCGCTAAATTGGATTTGTTTCGTTCAAAACGACAAAAAGTCGAAGATACCCCGAACAACAAGAGCATGTGACACTCACATGGTCAATCTCGACGGATTCTGTTACGGCAGGACCTAATTGCAGCTGATTGTCTAATTAAAGGATTTCGTTGCCTCAAAATTTAGTTCACGGACCCAATTGCAACTGGGGCCATACTTCAAGGACATCTACAATAATTAACCCTTACCAATAAATTCTTCGTTCGTCTAATGGTATTTCTCTCTACAATGTTAGAATTCTGTCTCCCTCATTCGATCAAAAAAACTTGTTATATTGTCCACTTGTGTGTACATATAAGTAATTTTGTTGATGTATCTAATATGATTTGTTTCGATATACAGATATTAACTTAGGAGCTATGTTATATTATTGCAATTAATTAATCATCTCTGTTTCGATATACAGGTATTTAAGTAAAAGACAAAAGAAAAAGGGGTTGGAAAAAAATAATTTCTTGGCATGATTATTGGCATTACAGATGATTATATAATGAAATAAATATCACTATATATATAGGTCTGTACAAATTCAAGCTTCACACACAATTACAATAAAATAACAAATTAAGAACTAGTTTTGATCTCGCAATCCAAATCCTGAACATGTAACAAATTGATTATTGTAGCGGTATGAGGTGTCAAATTCGAATATCTCGTGTCTTGATCACGTGCACTCACTTCCTCGCTTGTATGATCACTTGCATTGTAATGTTTTGAGAGTCTTGGTTGACAAGTCAAATGTCATGGTGCAGTCCATGGTAGCAGACTTCCTTTTCTTCATCATTAACATCAACACAACCTTTCCAGTCAATTTCCCTTTGCTGCTCAATGTCAGCACCCCACTCTTCAATTCGGTGCCCAGATTGGAACTGCTTGGCAATCCATATGAATTTAAACTCACCGTGACATCGATCTTTTTGGTAGAACGCATCTTAGCCTTGCTCTTAGGAACAACAACTTGCCCCACGGTCACGCCTTTGTACATAAACGTGACAGTTCCTGCATCAAACTTATAAGGACCCCAATTTGTGTTCTTGACTCTAATTTGGGTTGCGAAGCTTGCGTCGAATGAAGGTGTTGATGGCACAGATCTGAGGTTTTGGACCTTGATGTTGCCCAACCTGAACTTTGGGGTCTTAACTTTCATCACAGTGAGTCCAAACGCAGGCAGGACTATGAGCTGAAACACAATGAAAATAACAATGTATTTGTACATCTTGATTCTCTTCTGGCGTTTGAGCTCCTCGGATTGCAAAGCTGCCGATTCTTCATCTCTTCTGGGGTGTCCATTAACTGGTTCCCTGTGATTATACTTCTCAGCCATTTTTCTTTTTATGGCTTTCCTTCCCAAAGATGGATTGAGAAGTGGAGAGGAGGAGTTCTCTATTTGGTTATGCTAGCAATGTGTACGTTTATAGGGTTTGGACATATTTGACTAATTCATGTATTACTTGAATTGGAAAGGAATAAGTATAGGTGAGTTCTTCTTGGAAACAAAAGGACCCTTTTTTTTGGAGTTATATATTTCAAATGAGAATACTATAACACTCTTGGATGAGATTCTTAACTTCTAGATGGTTGCATGGACATTGCTTTTGATAAAAGATGAAAAAGTATGTTCTTATTTTATCTATTGAAGCTTCAATGGCATTCAATTGGGACCATATGATATTATATACTTTGTCCTTCAGCCAGGTGAAGAACGTGAATATGAGTTCTATTCAAACAGGCTGTACTCAACATGTGAAGCTACTTAATTAATTAATTTTCACCTAATTGTTGAGGAGAAGTAAGGGATCGTATGTTTTAATAATTAAGGATAAATTAACATATCAATCGTTAGATAGAGAAAAACATACGTGATAAGTGAGGACTTGTAACTCAAGTGGTAATTAAGATTAATTACCTCTACACCCGAGATTTCTATTGAAATCTTTGGCGACACAAGTTCCCCACAAGAGAAAAGAAAATTATTTCGGAGTGATTCTTTTGCCACCCTCCATTCCTATTCCCCACCCACCCCCTAACTTTATACCCCCACCATATAAAAAAAAAAAAAAAAAAATATAAACTTATCTCACCCCTTATGTTCCTAAAATTGCCCATACTTCTCCCTTCTCTTATTTCCCCACCCCACCCTATCTTTAGAATCTTGTTTAATGGTTACCTCTAGGCGGCTCTTCTTTTAGCCAAGTTGTTGGCTGCTAGCATCTTTTCTGTGACTATGTTGGATGTATTTCATGAGTGCATTAATTAAATAAATATTGGGAGCTTTATTTGACAGCTACTCTGAGTTGCAAACTTGATAATACTCTTACAAGACTTGTTATTTCCAGGGACACTTTCAGATTCTGATAGCCCAAGTTAGCATTTATGGAAATCAAGCATTTTGTATGTTTTCTGTGTTCACTGTTGTATAAAAGAAAAGGAAATACGGAAATACAGGGAGTGCCCTCAGTGGTTAAAAATAAATGAATCAATACCGTTTTATATAGCCAACAAATCCAAGGATTCAAACATATAGCAAAACTAAAAAATAAAAAAATAATAATAAAACAGAATCACAAATGAAGAACTAGTCTTCATCTCGAAAATTAAATGCTGGCTGATCACTTGCATTCTAAAGATTTGAGGGTCTTGGCTGCCACATCAAAAGCTATGGTGCAGTTCATGTTGGTAGCCTTCTTCTTCTTCATTATGAACATAATTGCTACTTTTCCATTCAATCTGCCTACGCTATTGAGCGTCAAAACCCCGCTGCTCAATTCGCTTCCAAGATTTGAACCAGAAAATCCACTTGAACTCAAACTCACCTCCACATTTCTTTTTATGGTCGAAAGCCATCCAACCTTGCCCTTTGCGATATCAATTACTCCCACAGTCTCACCTTGGTATTGAAATGTGACATTGGCAGCATTGAACTTGTAGGAACCCCAGTTGGCTGAGTTCTTGATCCTGATTTGGGTTGTGAATTTCATGTCGAATGAAGGCGTTGCGGGGACAGATTCGAAGCTTTGGACGTTGATGTCACTGCCTAGCCTGAACTTGGGGGTCTTAACTTTCATCACAGTCAAACTCATTGTGGTAATAACTATGATCTGAAAAACAACAAAAATACTAATATATATGGCCATTTTGATTCTCTTCTGGCGTTTCAGCTCCTCCTCGGATTGCAATGTGGCAGATTCTGCATCGTTTCTGGAGTAGCCATTGGCCGCTGCGAATTGCTGGTTCTTCTCTGCCATCTGAATTTCTTTCACTAGAAAGCTTTGAAATAAAACGCTCTGTTTTGTTTTGTTTTTCCTTTTTAAAGCTTTTGGCTGAACTCTAAAGTATGAAATTGAGCAAAGAGTGTTTTGTTTGTGAATGTTGGCAGAATTGTGCGTGGTATTTATAGTGCTTGGAGGAAATGATGAGTGTCAGCTTCCTGGAAATCAAAGTAATGCAACAACGCGCATAGGTTTGACTTTTTTGACTAGCAGTATTCTAGATGCATTCTTGGTCTTATCCTATAATAATATAGATAAAATTATTTGTAAGAACCTTCAACGGACCATTTCTCTTATTTTTGGTAGAGAGTGATTGGAAGCCTAAATTTACTCACGACACAAACAAGGAAAAACAAAGTGTAGAATAATAGAAAGCTTAGAGGGCTTGAAAGACAACACAAACGAGGATATATCTGTAAAAAGTCATCAGATAGCATATCGTTTTCTTTGTTAGCTGTGTGACGGCTTCGTTTTAAAGCAGGAACCCACATGTTGACCAAGCTCCTCATCTAGAAGTATATATTTTAAGTCAAAAACACTAAACTATGCGCGTTTGTTACATTTCGGCATTTTTCTGGAAAGCTTTGGTTAATAATATCCTCTAAACTCATTAGTTTATCTAACTCTCCCCGCAGAAGAAGCCAACATTCCCACAACAACTACTGTAGTAAACTTGCTATCAATTCAGTTTTACACTTAGAGAGAGCCAATAAACACCAAAAAAAGTAAAAAAGAACAGCATCGAGGAAGAACCCGGGTGGATAATGTGTAGCCTTGAGATGTACATTTGCTAACAAAGAGTATGAACTTGTAAAAACGCAAAAGTCATGCCGCCCCTGTGTGTTTGTTTGTCATGTAAGACAATGAATGCCTTTATTTCCTTTAATCTAGCCATTGTTGAAGTAGACAAAGCAAAGAAACGTGGTGGGAGTTTAGAGTTGAAAAACACAAGCAAAACCGAGAGAACAAACTCCCTAGGCAGAGCAGAAACCACCACTAAACAGGGAAGGGCACACATTTGAACTCAGAACACAAAGAACTACAACAACCCAAAAGAGTCTGACCAAACAGAAACAGAGGAAACAAATTAATACTCAAGTCCAGTCTTGCATTATGTTGGCAAGGCTTGAGCGCACGCTTTAAGAAGTCTGGTTTTTTTTTAACTCCCACCTTTTTATAGGGTTGTTCAAATCTATTCAATCCGTTAAGCTTACTGATCTAGTCCAATTTGTTCCAATTTTGAAGTCAATCAAATCCAACATATATAAGTCGGTTTCACGCTTCTTCTGTCTTGTAAGTGTTCAAAATTATATAGTTCTAGTAGAATTTTGTGATTGGACTCGATTAAGAAGAAGATAAGGAAGCATCTGTTTCTATATTCAATCGTATAAAACAAATCCAAGGAGTACACAAAGGCAAAATAATAACAAATGAAAAATTAAGAACCAATCTTGATCTCGCAAATCTAATCATTTGCATTGTAAAGATTTGAGCGTCTTGGCTGCCACATCAAAGCCTATGGTGCAGTTCATGTTGGTAGCCTTCTTCTTCTTCATTATGAACATAATTGCAACTTTTCCATTCAATCTACCTACGCTGTTGAGCGTCAACACCCCGCTGCTCAATTCACCGGCCAGATTTGAACCAGTTATTCCACTTGAACTCAAACTCACATCCACATTGATTTTTTTGGTCGAAAGCCATCCAACTTTGCTCTTTGGGATATCAACTACTCCCACTGTCGCACCTTGGTATTGAAACGTGACATTCCCAGCATTGTACTTGTAGGAACCCCAGTTGGCTGAGTTCTTGATTCTGATTTGGGTTGTGAATTTCATGTCGAATGAAGGCGTTGCGGGGACAGATTCAAAGCTTTGGACATTGATGTTGTTTCCTAGCCTGAACTTGGGGGTCTTAACTTTCATGACAGTGAGACTCATTGTGGTGATAACTATGATCTGAAACACAACGAAAATACTAATATAGATGGCCATTTTGATTTTCTTCTTGCGTTTCAGCTCATCAGCGGATTCCAATGACTCTGCATCGCTTCTTGTGTAACCATTTGCTGGTGCTAAAGGATAAACCTGTTGGTTCTTCTCAGCCATGCTTCCTTTTTCTTTTTTGATGTAAAAGTGAAAGCAAATTTCTCTGTATTTGTGGCTTTGGTTTTGTAGGATGAAACTTGTAAGCGGAGGTTGTTGTTTCTGGAAATGAAGGAAGAGCGGTGTGTTATATATAGTGTTTGGAGTTTGTCCGATTTCAATATATGTTATTTGGTGGAATGAATTTCCTGGAACATGCGAGTTTGGGGAAAGAATTTTATTGCAGACACCAAACGTGTCCACATGCGAGAATTATTGACTTCTAGACGATGGATGACTTTTGTGGGACCCTTTTTTATTTTATTTTTTATAATCAATACTGAAATTCATTTCAAGCCAAACAAGGCACGAAAGATACAAAAGAGAGGAGATAAACAGCCAAAAAAGAAAGTCTATCAACTAAATACATACCACCCAGCAAAGACAGACCTTCCACAAAAAAAGTATCAAATAGGGGGGCATGGTAGCCCATCAGACACTAACACCTGAACCAGAGACAGTGGTGGTCGTGAAACCCAGCTTTCCAGCTCCACTACTTTAACACCAATCAAGGCTGCCTCATGAGCAGCCCGATTAAGAAGCCTGCTAAATTAATCCAGTTCCATCTCACCTCCCTAAAAGAGCAGCAAGCCTTGGATATTTCTTCGAGCAGGGGCAAAATACACCACACTTTGTTCCTCACATCTCCCTTCACTCCATTGATAAGGAATCTTGAATCGGTTTCCATAATAAAGGCCGTTTAAATATCCAGAGAAGCTTCGTTTCTATTCTACTACAGTTTTTACTGATCTGAACACGCTGTGAATTGTATTGGCAAATTTTGGTTTTTTTGTTTAATTGATTATATGTAGTCCCATAAGCAAGAATTTCCAAACTCTTACGGTAAACTTAAGGACTTAATCTATACATACATAAACACATAGTCAAGGAGAGTTGATAGAGGAACTGAA